TGGGAGGCAGAGGCAGATGGAGCTCTGTGAGTTCAAGAAGGAGTGAGTTCCAGGACAGCTAAAGATATACAGAGAAACCCTGTCTCAAAAAAAAACCTGAAAATTTAGGAAAAAAAAGAGTTTAAAATAAAGCCACATAAAGATAAAAAATACACAGAGAATCTGGATACTGTATGTTATTGTGTTGTCTTTGAATTGTTGATGGCTGAGGAAGGAGCAGCAGCTGCTAAAAGACATTTGGTTATAAATGCTGCTGGATTAATCCAACATATATAGTTTAAAAATGTCTTGACTTCAAAATTTAAGTCAAAAGATATGTTACTTTTGAGAAGAGGTTTTGCTTTTGTTTCCACAGGAAATGAGAGACTGTAGAATCATTCTGGGTTAAGAAAAATCAGGTTTGATTAAGGAAGATCCCCTGAAAAATCTTCAATAGGAGTGGATGGCCCAGATGATCCAACATTTCAGAGGACCTCTGTTGGAGTTTCCTCTGAGTTCCACATCCAGAACAGCCTTGAGACTGTTGGCTGAGATGATCAAGCTTCACAGTCAAGACTTTACCATAATCCTAAATTTTCTTTAGGTCCTCATAAGATTATCAGAGCCCCCAATCAGCAGGAAGTAGACTGCAAAACTATGCACACTTCCCCCCCCCAAAATGGATTATAAATGTTTGTTTAGAGTTTTGCTTACAAGTTGTTATGGATAATAGTCAGGGGAAAAAGCTAAACAAAGGAAATTGGATTCACAGTTCTTATTTTAAAAAGAAGAAGAAAGGGAAGTACCGTGGATCAATGCTCTTGTACCCTGTAAAGATTGGTCACTTATATTGGCTTAATAAAACACTGATTGGCCAGTAGCCAGGCAGGAAGCACAGTTGGGGCGACCACAATAGGAGAGTTCTGGGAAGAGGATCGGCTTAGTCTGCAGTTGTTACCCAGACACAGAGAAAGCAAGATGAGAATATATCACTAATAAAAGATATTAAGCCATGTGGCTAACACAGACAAGAATTATGAGTTAATATAAGATATAAGAGTTAATAAGAAGCCTGAGTTAATAGACCAACCAGTTTATAATTAATATAGACTTCTGTGTGTTTCTTTAGGACTGAACTGTGGGACTGGGTGGGACAGAAACCTCTGCCAACAACTTTCCCTCAAGTTACAAATTCATTATGTTTTTTTCCCTAGTTTGGGTCTTTTGGCAGTTGTACTCTTTTGAGCATTCTTGCAAATGCCACTTACATATGTATGTGCATTTCTGTAATCTATATAGTTAGTGATATAACATATATGTTTTAAAAGCATCTTGACTTCAAAATTTGGGTCTAAAAATTTGTTGTTTACAAAAAGAGGTTCTTCTTTTGTTTCCACAAAATATGAGAGCCTGTGGATTCCTTCCAGACTAATGTGGTTTGATGCCCAACACCCCCTGAAAGGTCACCATGAACACCCCCAAAAATTACTTTGCCCAACAAAAAGCAAGAAGCAGTTTGGATAAAACTACACCCAAATTCCCAAATATTGTTTTTAAATGTTTGTTACATTTAAAGGGAGATATGCTATAGAGATTTGCATTGGTATGGATCTTAGTTTATTGATACAGATTTAAGGTTAGTTTTGTTATATGTATATTTCTGCTCTTGATTAAGGTATTGTGTTTATGTAACTCATTTAAAAATGTAATGTATAATTAAGAAATATACGTTGCTATATATCTTCTATAATAGTCAAGCTTGTAGTCAGTTAGGTTTTCTAGAGATATAGAGATATATTTCAGTTAGATAGGTATCTTTCAAATCGTTCAGAAACCTTCAGAATATGGCATTTAAAATGTTTTAAAAACTGAGGGATTTTTATGACAGTGAGACTCGTCTCCTGGCAGCACCAATCTACTTCAAGAGGATGATGGGCACCGAAGAAGCTCCTTATGGAGTTCGTTGGTCATTTGGGCAAGAAATTGTTCTTGACTGAACTGTTTGATACTATACTGTGTGAGCTGGACATGCAGAACCCATGGAGAGATGATTGCTGAACTTGCCTAAAGGTGAGATGGTCTTTTGAGGTTCTTGCTTCATGAAAGTGTCTGCCAGACATTATGCAGGACATAGAAAAAAAGTGACTGACAAACTGCCAATATAGGTGAAACTGTTTTAGAATTTCTTGCTTCATAAAAAAGTCTGCCAGATACTATGGGCCTGTAGGCTGAAGATGGATGCCCCAATGGTACAGAAGAACTTTGAGTGACTGTCCAAGCAGCAAAATGTCTCTGTCATTTCTAAAGTTTTGAAAGTTGCTTACAATGCACTTCCTGTTTACTTAGGTATTATTATATCCTTCTGGAGTCTTTGGTGGAGTTGAAGAATAGATAGTTATAGTTTTCCTTAGTTATGATAAAAGATAAAATAGATATAAATATTGTAACTTTAATTCTTGCTTGATACCTGTTTTTGTTATATGTTAAAGGTAAAACCTTCCTTTTTATTTAGATAGGAAAGGGGAAATGGTGTGGGAAGTCCTTCTGTATATGTGTTGCTTTTATTGGTTAATAAAGAAGCTGCTTTAGGACAATGGCTTAACAGAATATAGCCAGGCTGGGAGGATCGATCTATCTATCTATCTATCTATCTATCTATCTATCTATCTATCTATCTATCTATCTATCTACAGAGAGAGAGTAGGTGGAGTCAGGGAGAAGCCATGTAGCCACCACACCAGGGACAGATGCCTTTTCTGGAGCCTGCCGACCTGGTAGGCCACGACCTCATGGTGGTGCACAGACTAATGAAAATAGCTTAGTTTAGGATATAAGAGCAAGTTAGAAATACGCTTTGGCTTATTGGCCAAACAATATTTCAAATAACGTATTTTGAGTTTGGGCAGTCGGGAAACCAACAAGCGGTCTCCCCGTCAACAGAGCGTGTCAACAAAAGGATAGCAATATGACAAAAAACTATTAACATGAGGTGAAAGAGAAAAAGGTAACCTGGAAAAGGAACTGTGAAGATTTTCAGACTGAGAAGAAAAAAAAAAAACCTATCTTATTCTGCTTTGTTGTTTTCCTGAATGGGAGGAGCTTTTCTAGAGAATGGGATCATATTAAGGAAAAGGAATCCTGCTCCCAAAGCTTCTGCAGGAAGCAACTGGAGGCCAGTTCTTTGCACAGGGTGACCTGTGGCTCCTAAGCACCGGGAGTAAGAGCAGAATTTGTAGAACAGAGAGCAAAGCAGAAAGAGACTGGGGAGCTGCACGGCCAGCTAATGCTGATCAATGAACCTTAGAACATTGATTTCTACCACCCAGCCACACAATTCGTGCTGTAGCAGCTGAGCGCAGGCTTCTCACAAATATTAGGTCATTTTAAAGTATGTGGAATAAAAATAAGAAAACTTTCCTCTACCTCATGCCCTCAGCTGTACAGCCACACACAGCCTGTACCACACACATTGGTCAGTGAATTTTCTCTCACCAACACATCTTTTCACAGTTTTGTTTGTTTTATTCTTCTTGTTCCTCGTCCTTGTCCTCCTCCTCTTCTTCTCCTTCTTCTTCTCCTTCTTCTTCTCCTTCTCCTCCCTCTCCTTCTTTTTCTTCTTATTCGGTAGGTAGGGTCTTGCAATGATTCCCAGGTTGACCTCAACTTCTTGGGATTAAGGGAGCCTCCTGCTTCAGCCTGGGACTATGTGCCACACTGAACCTGTCAGCAACACGTCCTTCTAAGATCTACATAATATTCCTTATTCCAATGAACTGTTATATTAATCAAGTAAAGGTCATTTGTTTGCTCTCAGTTCTTGTCCAGTAGCAAATATTTTTAGAGAGATTTGTTGAAGGGAGATCAAGAGACAAACTAGGCATGGTGACATGTTGATCTGGCAAGGTGCTCCAAGAAGTGTTCTGTGCACCCGCCAGCATGTGGGAAGGAACATGTGTGCTTTCACACCTTGAATCCGATATTCAAGTCTCTAGTCCAATTACCCAATGGGGAAACTTTCTGAGTGCCCCATTTCTTATTAACAATGAGTCCAACACCTGTTGACACATGCATGACCAATGTTCTCTTAGAGATAAATTGCTTTTATTACAGACTTATCTTCTCTCCTGGGTTTCTTTGTTTTACCAATGTGTAGAACTGGGCAGGAGTCTATGGTTTGCTGTCTATGTTGTATAACTTTTGGCTTGTATCTTTATTTTCATGGCTTAAATAGGATTTGTGACCTATCACTGTAGCCCTGGTTTGGGATGGAAGGAACATTTGAGGGAGAAGGCAGCCCAGATGAAAACAGATAAAGCAATGCACACAGGAATTCTGTCCTCCATATCTGTCTGGAGGTCAAGGTGGTGAGGCCAAAGGTTCATCCCTTGCTTAGGTGTGACTTTGGACACTGACTAACCTCTCAGAGGCTCAGTTTCTTCTCTAGAAAGGGGGAAATAATGAGAACCACGTCATAGACAATTATTCTGTGGGACTAGAGAAAAGTCTCAAGGCTTAAGAACATTGACTGCTCTTCTAAAGGTCCTGAGTTCAATTCCCAGTAACTACATGGAAGCTCACAACCACTGTAATGAAATCTGGTGCCCTCTTCTGACCTACAGGCATGCATGCAGGCAAAACACAGTATCCATAATAAATAAATCTTTAAAAAAAGAAAGAAAGAAAGAAAGAAAGAAAGAAAGAAAGAAAGAAAGAAAGGAAGGAAATTATTCTGTGGAACCAACTTCCTCATGCTGTTTTGCACTTAGTATTGAGACAGTGGACACGCTGTGACTCCCGTGAAATCATCATCTCCAGTGCTGACTGGAGAAACGGGTGGCTCCGAGGGCCCGTGAAGACATGATGATGTCAGTTTAACACACTATCTGTTTCTCATAATGCATCAGCCGTTGCCTTCAAGACCTCTCCTGAGTCTGGAATCTGGAATGTTCTGGAGAGCAGCAGGACTTCTGGCCTGTGGTATGCAAATGAGGACACTGGGGCTGGGTGAGTATCAGCACAAAGTCCCAAGGACAGGGGCAGTGAGCTCCCGGACAGGCTGAAGAGCATTCCCTTCAACATGGCTGCTGGGAAAAGAGAGCTTTTGATGTTGGAAAACTTCATAGGTGGAAAGTTTTTACCCTGTAACTCATATATAGATTCTTATGATCCATCCACAGGGGAAGTATATTGCAAAGTACCAAACAGCGGGAAAGAAGAGGTGAGTGCATTTGCTTAGAAAATGGAAATGCATTTACTGTGTTGACAAACTGTGGAGTTGTATAGGGAGGGGATGAAGGAAAATAATAGAATTTCATAAGGTCATTTGTCTTGTGACTGGACAGGTATGAGGCAGAGCGGCTCTCGGCTTACTAGGAACAGAAGAAAGTTGTTGCCAACTTAACAGCTCTGGGCACAGTTGGTTTTAATTTTTGTAGTTCTCAGACAGGCTATGATAGTGCCTAGTACAATGTATTGTTCTTAAGAACTATTGCCATATTAAATGCATCCTTTTCCACAAAGTGTCTGCTAGCTCCATGGATTTATAAAAATACGTTTTAAAAACTCCAGTTGAGAACAACACAAAAAGCCCAGTACTTTATTTTCAACCACCATCTAATAATTCTTCGTATCGCCACAAATGCCCAGTGAGGCAAAACCAGCCATTTGAGTAACGGAGCTGAAAATTAGATTCTTGTGTTTTCACCATACTTAACAATTAAAAAAAATAGCTAATGGCTTATATTCTGTTCTTGTCTTTTCCTTTGCATTTTCCTTTCTTTTTTAGTTATGAGGAATTAAGATTCCTTGGGGAATTTGGTAAAATATCTGATTCATTTGATTAGTTAACTTATTGCACGGAGAACAAAAAGTACCTACCTTGGTAAGTGTGGCTGATATGTGTGTAGTTATCAACTGAATACTGTTTTATTATTTTTTGGCACAGAGAACTAGATTATAAGATCATTTCACCCTTCCTATACTCAAAGCCTTTTTTTCTTCAAAAATCCAGCTCTTTTCTTCATTGTCAAACTTTAAATCGATCTAGAGGAAAAATATCACTTTAGACTTCTGTGCTAAAGTTTACAAATATTGGATATCTTGTTAGTTAAATTGTAACCAGCAATTTTGTTTGCTTCCAATGACAGCAAGCAACCGCTCTTCTGCTCTTCCCAGTCCCAAGGTCCAAAGTGATGCTAAAAGTAACAACTCTAACAAAGGCAGGTGGAGTGTGGTAACTGCGGGCACTTCTTCGGGAAGCAGAATAAAACAGATCTTTTCACTTCCTACTACATATAGCAGTGCAGTTTGCAAATATTGTGTGTTCCACAAATGCTGTGTCTTTGATGACTTTACAAGATACTTGCAAAATTGTGTGTGTGTGTTCATGTACGTGAGAAAGAGCAGTGAGCTATTAACACTTACAGATGCATTTCACACTTTGGCCACAAGAGGGCCTATCTGTTTTCATGTATTTATCCTTTGGAGCTCCCTACTCTTCGCCTTTCCAACAGAGGCCTCTCTTCCCTGGGCTGGGCAAAGCCACCTGTTCTGCCACAGAAAGAGTTCTCAGCCCATGTGTGTCAAACACAGGGGTCTCACATCAGATATCCTGCCTATCAGATATTTACATTACGATTCATAAGAGTAGCAGAATTACAGTTATGAAGTAGCAACAAAAATACATTTATGCAGCATTAGGAAAGTTGAGAACCACAGTACTATAAGGTGTCAGTTAACAGTCTTGGGGCCCACACAGACTGGGTCTGTATCCCCACACTGCCTGTGACTTCCAGCAAGTCACATATGATCTTTCTGTGCTTCAGCCTTCTTACTATAGAATAGCACACAGTACTCTAGGTGTGAAGCTTTAAGAAGCGTTAAGTACTTTGTAATTTTGGTTAGAGTTCCTCAGATATGCAAGTTAGCCAGTGAGTGACCGGGTTAGTCACTCCACGTGCCTGTAACAGCCCTAGGATGCAATCACATCGAGAACGTGAGACTGGACAAACGGTTAGCGCTGAATTAAGAGCTTTAGAGATTCGACACATCGCGGCAGATTTCCTTTTCCACACTAGATCCCAAACCATGCATTCTTTGGGAAATGAATGAAATTTTTCATCTATTAAAATGAAAACCACGTCTTCCAAGTTGCTTGATGGCCGACTTTTAGATACCTTGGTAGAGGTGGCGCATGTTCTCCCCACCCCCAGTTCTTGTCTTTGCGTTTACCTCCAAACTGGAAGCCCGAGCATCTGACCTGCCTTCGAACAGCATGCTGTGGGAGACAATGGCTATGCTCAGTCCCTTTGCGAGGCAGCCTTAACCTCTCCTAGATCCCCATTCTGCCTGGCTGGCTTAGGCCTCGGGGCTGTTACTGCTTTATCTGTGAAATGAAAGGCTGCCGTGGTGAAGGTAGCCGGTTGGTCGTATTTCTGTCCCTCAGCTCAGCTCTGTGGATCCCTCGGGGACGGGGACGTTGCCTGGGAGCAGCATCTTGCTCCTTTTAATGCAGAGAAGTGTGCGTTAAAAGCATGGGTGTGCCACAGCGGACCACCATTCGCCTACACAGAGAGCTGGTGGCCGCAGTTTGGGGCTGCTAAGACTATCACTGCTGTAAACACGCCTGCATAGGTTTTCTTTGCATGAGGGTAAGTACTGGTTTCTCTGGGATGAATGCCCAGGAGGGTGTTCCTGGCTAAGAGTAGAGGCCCTGTCATGTTCTGCATAGGTGCCATCTTTCTCATCCCGGTCAGCAGTGGATGACAGGGTTCTTTTATTTATTCAATTATCTATCTATCTATCTATCTATCTATCTATCTATCTATCTATCTATCTATTTGTTTATTTATTTATATTTTAATTTTTTTGGCATCCTCCCCAGCACTTGGTATTGCCACTGTTTTATTTTGTTCCTGACCCCTTTTTTTCTTGGTTCTGTGGGGTAAAACTGAGGGCATTGGGCATGCTAGGAAAATGCTGTACCACTGAGCTGCACTCTCAGCCCAGAATCTTTTTTTTAAAGATTTTTTATTTTTTATTATGTATAGTGTTCTGCCTGCATGTGCATGTATGCCTTAGGACCAGAAGAGGGCGCCAGATCTCATTACAGATGGTTGTGAGCCACCATGTGGTTGCTGGGAATTGAACTCAGGACCTCTGGAAGAGTAGCCAGTGCTCTTAACCACTGAGCCATCTCTCCAGCCCCCCAGAATCTTTTGATTGTTGAAACTGACTTATGTACATTTCCCTATGGCATATTTCCAAGTCCTTACTTATCTTGGGCATACATCTTCTGTCCATTTTGCTCACATCTTTGTCCATTGCCTAATTAACTTGCTAGTGTCTTTGCTGTTACTGTTGTAGCTTCTTCATATGGGGCATACCAGAAGCATTTGTCAGTTGTGTGATGAGCAGGTATTCACCATGGGTCCTCAGGCTGCCCCTTGAAACTTCTGTCTCTTCAACATCAGAGGTGCCAGCAGCCCAGACACTCCTGAGATCCTCCATTCCATCCCTGGTACCACTTGGCTTGCCTTATTCACAGAAGCTGGGGGCATCCTTGGGCTTATTTTTGGGCTTCTAGAAATTCATGCTTGCGTCTGGTCTGGTCCCTGTGCCATGGCATGTGAGTTGGCCTGAGACCAAATCCCTGAGGGGACCAGCAGACGGGAGAGGCTTTGGCACATGATGTCACACGGTCAGCGGATCACTGTGAACCCATGGTGGCAATGACTCAGAACTCAGATGGTTGGATTTGCCTGAGGGCAGTGGAAGGCTGAGAGCAAATGGCCCTCCCTTTGTCGTTCTGCTGCTTGTGGGTTACATACACAACTGTGCTGTCTATTTGGTGGGTAGTTTAGCGTGAGGACATGTTGAGAAGCTGAGCTTGGGCAGAATGACCATCAGTGATGAAGGAAGCCAAGGATTCTGGATGCTGCCGGCCGCTCTGGAGCAATAGTGCTAAAGTGACCATCTCTGGTTTGCTCCTCAAAGATTGAAGCTGCCGTGGAGGCTGCCAGAGAGGCCTTCCCTGCCTGGTCGTCCCGGAGCCCCCAGGAACGTTCTCTGGTCCTGAACCGACTGGCTGATTTAGTGGAGCAGTCCCTGGAGGAGTTAGCCCAGGCCGAATCTAAAGACCAAGGTGAGGGGGGTGGGGCTCCCTGGCAGGATCTGTCTGCCTCCCAAGCTCTTTTACCAATAGAGACTGAGGCTCGAGAACAGGCATGTCTTACTAAATGCTTATGAAAACTGCAGTCCATGGGCTGCTAGCATCCCCACTCTACTTTGTCAGGGAATCGCTTGCCTTTTGGTAGACGGTTTACACTCAAGGGCGAGTTAGTCGTATCACCCTGTCTGAGGCGCCAAGCTGACTTACATACTTGCTTGTCAAGACAAAAGTAGAGACGGAGGCAAAAACATGCAGGATGCAGAAGGCCAAGTTTTGTGGCTGATACGCTCTGCCCCATCGAAACGAGACAGTGGCTGGACCCAAAGCTGAGTGATGGGGGACATCCTGCCAATTTAGTTAAAGGAGCTGCACGGATCCGCAGCAGAGAGTGGCGATAGGGAGACAGGAGGAACTCGGGGTGGCCATCCCATCTCCCTGTTCTGTTCAGAGCATCCCAGAGTAAAGACCATTTGGAGACCAGCTAATTTTCTCATCCATTGTCACCATTCTACTCCTGTGTTTTCCCTGCTTCCCAAAGGACATGGGGATAGGGTGAATATATAAAATTTATAATGTCTTTTAGTCGTGTGGTGTTAAAATATACCTGCTATAAGCCAACTTAAAGCAGACAGGCACTCAGAGAGAGCAGGTTTCTTCCAGGATAAGGTGGTGGTGCCCACCTGTGATGGCAGCATGCGCGGGGGGGTGGGGGAGGCGCTGAGGCTGAGGCAGGAGGATTGGGAGTTCCTGACCATGTGGGCTACACACACACACACACACACACACACACACACACACACACACACACTTTTGCTCCTGTTCTGGGGGCAGCCCGTCTCCCTTGGCCACTGAAGGGCATCTGGGAGAAGTTTAAATAAAATCCCTCCTACCCCATCCAGAAACCAGAATCCTGGGCTGAGGGTCTCTCTAGCTCTTCCAATGACTCCTCTGTGTGTGTGGAGGATGTTTAAGATACCTCCCACATTCATATGTGATGTGCGCCTTGAGCTGTTTTAACCCCAACTATTTCAACCACGTCGTTTCGAAGCTGCTGGCACACCAGAGCCAGTGTGAAATGGCGTCGTCTGGTAGCTTCATGATGAAAGGGAGGAGGTGTTCGCGGGACAAAGATGCTCTGGCTCTATTTTAGGTCCTCCGCACCTCATTCTATAACCTCACACCTAAATATCTCATCGCTTGAGCCAACCAGAGTCAACTCTGCGAGGGAAAGAGGAGCCTCCCATGGGCTGGAAATGAGCAGAGGGACAGATGACGAGCGGCAGAGGCCAGCGCTAACTCCGTGGGAAACGCAGGCAGCATTTTATGGTGTCCATTTCCTACAGGGAAAACTCTCACCCTGGCAAGGACCATGGACATCCCTCGGTCTGCTCAGAACTTCCGGTTCTTTGCCTCCTCTATCCTGCACCACATGACGGAGTGCACACAGATGGACCACCTGAGTTGTATGCACTACACTGTCCGTACCCCTGTGGGAATAGGTAGGTAACGTTCCAGGAAAACCTGTGTCAGTCAGAATGCTCAGAAAATTCTGGACAAGCGCTTACTAGGGACAGAATATGGAAACGCGAGGGGTTGATTTTTCTCTTTTTTTGTTGAAAATTCGTTGGCTTTAAAAATGATTTCTAATTCATCCTCATTGTATCAAATTCTCTGCCTTTTCTAGAAACGTTGTCTTGGAGGGTCACAGGGAAAGGGGATGATGTCAGGAGCGCTTTGTTTCTTATGATTGAAATAAGAAAACACCAAATCCAGACAGTGCCATGCGTGGACTGCAGGATTGCATCTTCTTCACGCTTCAGGATTCTGAAAAGCTGGGACAATAGTTCACTTTTCTCTTTATAGGATTCAATAATGTGAGAAATTTGGGTCAATGAATAAATGTGTAGTTCAGCTGCATGTACGAACTGGCGCGTTCCTAGCGCTTGGACAGGGGAGGCAGGAGGAGAAGAAGAACAAGGTTTTCCTTGGCTACACAGTGAGTTTGGGGTTAGCCTGGACTGCACAAGGCCCTGTCTTCAAAAACAAAGAAGCAAGAAATAAATGAGTGCATGCTCCTTCAAGTAATGCCAGTTGTCTGGTTAAGAAGAGTTAACCTTTTTGCCCCTTGTCCCTTGATTAAGGTGTGTCAGGAATGACTGAGTGTGAGCGGTAGATGTCGCTGTTTCCCTGAGAAGAAACACCATGCTTTGCCGCTGCAAACAGCAGAGCGAGAAAGAGAAAGCAGTGGAAACATTTCGCTGTCTAACCCTCGAGAAAACATTCCCAAGGAGTTGTAGGAAGTTTTAGTCTCCTACTAAGAAACATATGAAAATATTTTGTTGCAAACACATTCTGTAACTCTTAAAGAACAGATTTTTCTATGAGAAATTTAGTAGTATAAAATATACTTACTTACATAGGACAAAATATAAACTAAAGTGATTTTTTTTTTTTTTTTTGAGAGAGAGACAGGGTTTCTCTGTGTATCCCTGCCTGTCCTGGAACTTATCTGTAGATCAGACTGCCTGTCCTGGAACTCACTCTGTAGACCAGGCTGGCCTGTCCTGGAACTCGCTCTGTAGACCAGGCTGGCCTTGCATTAGCAGTGTTTCATTCATAAGGGAGAGCTTATATGCGTGCAGGCTGTGACAGAAAATGGAAAGTTTAAGAATAGCGCATAGAGATACATCCCGTCACACCCAACCTGTGAATGGGACCTAATGCACAATTATTTAAAATTATTTAAAATATCCTGGGAGTCTTTGGGCCATTTTAAAAGTTAACTGATTACATGTTCTTGAGAGTGAACTTGGCAGATGACAACATTTTGTCACAAAGTCCAGAGACTGGATGTCCCTTCTGAAAGTCCGGGGTGTTGCTACCCAGCAAACCACCGTGGTCAGAGTACAGTTGAGCATGTAGACAGAATTTGATTTTAAGACCTGCTGCTGCCAGGCTGGATTTCGCAGCTTGTGCGTCAGAGTCCATCAGCATAACTGCTCCCTAGAGGAACACTCAAAATCACCTTGTGCCTGCTGCACTCACAGTTTAGCAAGGCCTGGCCTTGAGTGTCTCAGTGACAGCAGGTTAGAGACAGAGGAGGGGAAGCGACCTCGCTGCCTAATACTGCACTGCTCCCAGGCTTTCTTTAAAAAGGAAAGGTCAGCCGGGGCAGTGGGGTGTGCACCGTTAATCCCCTCTGCCCGGGGAGGCAGAGGCAGGCGGATCTCTGTGAGTTCAAGGCCAACCTGGTCTGCAAAGTGAGTTCCAGGACAGCCAGGACTATTACACAGAGAAATCCTGTCTTGAAAAACCAAAAATAAAATAAAATAAAAATAAAAAGTAAAGCTCAATCTACAGACTTCAATATGCACTCTCTTCAGACAGTATTAACAAGTCATCAATAGCCTTTAGCCCCGGAGCCTCTGTTGCCCTGGTTCCTAATTATAGTCGTGGCTCACCATGGTACATGTATTGACTTTGCTACTGTAAGGAGCGAATTACTTGTAAGGGTTTTAGAATAGCCTTCCTGAAGCTGGCAACCAATAAGTGACCTTTGGGTTTCCGGGCAGCAGGGAATTCTGCTAGAAACACCACCTAGCTGGTCTGAGGCATGGCCCTGCTTCTGCTCTTGTCCCTTAGCTGGTTTAATCAGCCCTTGGAATTTGCCACTGTACCTGCTGACCTGGAAGATAGCTCCGGCCATCGCTGCTGGGAATACCGTAATAGCCAAACCTAGTGAGCTGACTTCTGTGACCGCGTGGATGTTGTGTAAATTCTTGGATAAAGCAGGTACCAGGGTGTGGTGGGGGCAGGGAGGAGGCACGGAGCTAGGGCAAAACTGACAGAAGCCACCTTCACTCAGTGCCTACTCCAAAGATGTCTTTTCATTTTGTAACCCTGATACTTTCTGGTCATGTCTTCATCCACAGCAGGGTTCTCTTCTACGGTCCCTTCCTTCCCTCTTTAACTCTAGCAGGATGTCACTCACAAATAGCGTCACCCCATGGGGTGAAGATTGTGCAGTAAATATTACAGGCTTAGGGAGTCCTGATAACATCAAAGACACCAACCAGTTCAAGTTATTATCATCAACAGTCACGTTAGATTTAAGTCTGAGCTACCAGTCAGTCTTGGAAGTTGAGTATTACTAGATTTGTATTAGTTACAATGACTACTAGATTCAGCCATTTCCAAGGGATTTAATATACACCCCCCTGCTTCTCTGTATTTGGGGCAGAAGTGGATAGGCTGTAACACCCACTAGTTTGTTCCTCGTTTTCTTTCAGCTAATGGTTTAATGCCCTCACTTAGGCTCCCTTCCTGGTTTTATTCGGGATATAATTCTGCATAGAGAAGCCTGGCATTGTCCTGACACTTAAATCTCAGCAAGTGGCCTTTGAAAAGGCCTCTTTCTGTTAGAATCATTATCTTGTGAACCCCTACAGCTAGGAAGGTAATGGTGACTGGGTGGTCGGAAAAAATTTATCCCCCTCTGTCTGGGCCAACATGTTATGTACTTACTGCCTTTTGGCACAGAGAAGTCACAGTAGGGCTCTTCTGACTCCTTAGGATGGGCAGCAAGTAGAAGCCTATTTCTCCCTTTCTTTTTCCTTCCTTCTCAACCTCTCTTCCTCCCTCCCTCCCTGCCTCCCTGCCTCCCTGCCTCCCTGCCTCCCTGCCTCCCTGCCTCCCTGCCTCCCTCCCTCCCCCCCTCCCTCCCTCCCTCCCTCCCTCCCTCCCCACTCCCTCCTTCTGGATGCTTCAGAAGAAGATGCTTGCACATAACTTCCAGTGGAGTTTAGCTAATTCTTTGGGATTTTAATCATAGGCTAAACCTGGCCTTGTTTGGAGAATAGCATCGGTCCTTGTTGGGAGGAATGAGGCCTCCCAACCAGTCTTCGAGATGACCTATATAGATGCCCCAGGCCCCTAGAAGATGGAGACCATGCCCACCCTCCCATTTCCCAGATGCACCCATTCTTCGTTATAAGCAGGCCACCTTCTAATTCCATTTTTGTCAAAGCCAAGTCTTTGGTGTGCACATGGGCGTCAGTCATTTCTTGCCAGCTTGGTGACTGCAGGTCCTTAGAGTGGAGCAGGAGAGGGGCTGCGCCTCTTCGTCAAGCCTTAGCCCTTGAAAGGCTAATAGTTCTTGTGTGTTCATGTGTGCCTGACTGATCTGCCGGCCACTCACCCCAGTCTTTATTTTGCAATTTCTGTTTGTCAACTAAATTGCTTTACTTCTCTGGCAACCAGATTCTCTTCAGAGTTTAGAGGGTAGTTATCTCTACAAAAATTTTATTACCGTCTGATTCGGATGGGAGATAACACTGAGAAACCTCACAAGCTGCTGCCTCTTAACCTGTTACCGTCAGACTGCAGGCAAATGGAGAAGGCTGACATGTGTGGAAATTGGTCAGCCTGCGGAATGAGCTCATTGTCCCACGGTGAGAGATACAAGGCATTCCTGTGTTTTCTCTCAGCCTCTGTAAAAACATCACAGTAAACATCAGACACGGTTTATTAACAGCTCCCCCCCCCCACTTATACCGCTACTCTCCCATCTACCCAAAGAGATGCCGTATATTGGAGCTGCGGGCCTCATCCATGGATGGTGGGAAACTTGTCCTTGTTTTTCTTCTATCAACGGCTTTCCTTCTAGACTTTTCTTTGCTCTTCTACGTGGTACACAGCGCTCCTCTAGCTGTGATGTATAAACCAAGGTTGGCCTAAACTAGACTGGATAAATGTACACACTGTAGAGCGGCAGAGGGCGCTCGACGTCTAATCCTTTTACACATGTGTGCATCCGCGTGAATACACATTCAGGCACCTGCATAGCTTTTCACCCCCGCAAAGAAGTTAATCCCCAAAAGAGGTAAATGTATACATTTAGGTCTCAAGGGTCTTGCTGTAGAAACAATCGAGGCACCTGTTTTTGGGTGCTCTTGGTATTTGTTCCATGATTTGGGGTGGCGGTGATGCTGTACAGAACCATGGGCGTGGAACCTTAAGTCAAAAATTACCCCGTCTGGGACAAGGACCCCTCCTGCTTTTCTGGGCCGAGACAGTTGATGTCTTCATGTCTCTGCAGGTCCACACAGATGTTTACTGAACACTGTTACTCTGCTTTGCAACTTTTAAGTATCAAGTTGGAGCAAGTGCCCCCAGCAAGCGAGGATGCTCAGATTGCCTGACAGTACCTGCAAGTCAGCCCCTGGAGCTTAGTCAGTTTTATAGAATGAGTTTCTCAGAAAGTCCTTTACCCTGCATCTTTCCAGGCCAGAGCACCCAGAGACATGCCAGCAGGTAGATTCTATGAGCGGAGATGACTCTGTAGCATTGGCTTTGCTATTATACTTGAGCCAGTATAAAATCTCCAGGGACTGTCAAACTTACAACCTTCACCCTCCCAGCTTTTGGACTCCCAAAGGTGAACCTCTGTGTCTCTTCAGCTGTCCTCCATACACCCAGGAGAATCACTACCGCTGATTTTATTTCCCATCCAGGTGTTCCACCGGGTGTGATCAATATTGTGTTTGGAACAGGGCCCAGGGTTGGTGAGGCCCTGGTGTCCCACCTAGAGGTCCCCTTGATTTCCTTCACTGGGAGCCAGCCCACAGCTGAGCGCATTACCCAGCTCAGTGCCCCCCACTGCAAGAAGCTCTCCCTGGAGCTGGGAGGCAAGAATCCTGCCATCATCTTTGAGGATGCTAATCTGGAGGAGTGTATCCCAGCAACCGTGAGGTCCAGCTTTGCTAACCAGGTATGAGTCCCGCTCACACAGGCCCTGTCAGGTGGGATCTGTTTCGACACAATGCCAAGTCCAGGGAGTTTGGTGATGGTCCTGCTATTTTATCTTCAAGAAGGATCCGTTATAGTGTTATCTTAACACCCAGGAGTAGCCGGGCAGTGGTGGCGCAGGCCTTTAATCCCAGCACTCGGGAGGCAGAGGCAGGCGGATCTCTGTGAGTTCGAGACCAGCCTGGTCTACAAGAGCTAGTTCCAGGACAGGCTCCAAAGCCACAGAGAAACCCTGTCTCGAAAAACCAAAAAAAGAAAAAAAAAAAAAAAAAAAAAAACCCCACCCAGGAGTGGCCTGGTACAGTCATAGCTTCTTTTTGTCAAGTTCCTCACATTGAGTCACACAACTTTTATCAAGTACCAGTCATGGGTAGAATGGCGGATTCTGCAACTCTAAGCATCTCCATTTCTTTATTTACACAGTCACCTGTCTCCCCTTTGCACCCACATGTCCTATTAGTAAATTTTCTTCTCTCCCCAAAGTATCTCTGGTGCCTTTACACCCCGAGTTCCTGTTTCCTGTAACATTCCAAAGCAAGTTTCACCTCAGGCCACCTTTGCCACTTCTATTATGATTACATCACAGATATTTCTGTGGGCTCTGTCATTTCCGTCAGGTTCTTCAAAGTCACAGCCTCCCAGAGGAGTAAGAACCCTAGTCCAGAGTCACTGGGCAACACCTTTTCCCACAGATGGGAACGATGTCTCCATTTCTTTACCTTTACGATACTTGGAATGATGCTACCCTTCAAAGGTCTTCTGGGAATGCTTAGTGACTTTCAATTAATGTTTTCATAATAATGGTAATGATAGTTATTTCCTTTACCATAATTTCCAAAGAAGATAGCTAGAAATGTAGTGTTTGCATATGGGTAGACAATTCAATGTTCTAACAAAAGTGATTTATTCATTAAAATTATCAAATGTCCAGTAAACACATAAACTAGTGATCACACACTTCAAGACACCGAGAGAGGCACACACTCTGAGAACTGAGATGAGGGGAAGTGGGCTGATAGGTTGTGTAAGGTAGCCACCTGCTAAGCAAGGGGACACAGACTGAGGCTACTCATCTACCAGGGTCCTTTTGAAATTTGGCTCAGCCCACCAAACCTCTCTTTAGGGGAGAGGGGTATGTTAAGGTATCAATGAGGAAAAAGATACAGCCAAGCCAAGGCAACAGATGGATTTTAAGCAAACTATAATAGCTTGCTTATTTGCTTTAGCTGATTGACGAGTTCCAAGTGGAGCCTATTTCCCCCTTAATTGAAGATAATTGGCTTCAGGGAAGGGAGGGGCAAACGCTCGGCATGACCTTGGGTATATATTAATTCAAAACTCCCTTTCCTAACTGTGAACTGAGAATACTAACACACTGCAGAACTTTTATGGAGAAAGTAGTCAAATCGGTGCTTGGCATGGCGTAGAGATTCAGTGAATGAGCTCTTTCTTTGCTCATTCCCTTTGGAGTCATCCTTTCTGCGATCTCAGTGTGAACTAAGTCTTCCTAGCATGAAACGATGGGAAACTTGGTAAAACTCTCAAGTCTCTCCACCTTCTGCATAAGGAACTTATGCAAATGAACCCAACAGGTGTCTGGCCATCTTCCAAGTCACTTAGGCAGATGGGATAGTGGTGCTATTGGGAAAAGAATGTATTATTTCAGAACATTAACTGCTTAATTTGGACAATAAACCTTTGTGCAAATACCAAGATAATTAGTTGCATTCTGTTCCCTAGGATTGTTGTAAACACCAAATATAAATGTGATAAAAATGTTATTAGTATTTGTGCATTCATATACTTTCATACCTTCTCCTTTGAAATGTCTAGATGTGGTTTATAAGCTATTTCATATTTAAATGACAGTTAGGATTGTTTTTCTCTCCAAAGTGTACCAGGACCTATCCCTGAACACTCAGCATCTCTCTTTAGGTATCTAGTGGGCATCGGAACTTAACAAGCCCACAGCACAACTCTTGCTCTTCCTCTCTCCCCACCCACTGGAAAATGACTCTTCTCTTTGCCTCTTGTTTGTCCTTTCATGGAAAGGCATACTGTCCAAAGTGGTGCAAAGCCCAAAGCTTGGAACAGCCTTTTCTTGCTCTCTTCCTTGTATCTATGTCTGATCTATAAACGGATATGTTGGCTCTATGTTTAACACATATTCTCAAACATTACTGTTCTAGTGTATCCATGCGGGTCTTCTATACTTTAGGGGTCCCCCACCAATTAAGAATCCTGAATTTGGTGGAAACATACGTACGTCTTTGTTCCCCTTCCACTGATACCTGCCCAGTAGAAGCTACTTACCTTGGTTTCAGCCTTTGGAATATTCCCCTCACTCCTCACTCTAGCTTCCTTTTGTTTTAGTTTTGCACACAACGTTGTGAGTGATCATCTAGAAATGTAACTCTCAGGGTCAGGGAAGGTAGCTCAATTGGTAAAGCACTTGCCATGCAAGTGTGAGAGCCTGATTTAACGCCCCTAGAACCCACTTAAGTAAGCCAATCACACACGGTAGTCCTAGGATTGAGGAGAAGAAGATGGGTGGGTCCTCTGGCTCAGGGGTCACTCAGCCTGGCCTACTCAGAGAGCTCTAGGTCACTGAAATGACCCTGTTCTAAAAAGCAAAACACCAAAACAAGCAACCACAAGAAGAAAACACAAGGCAAACTGCTCCTGAGTAATGACACCTGAGGTGGTTCTCCAGCTTCCACATGAAGACAAACACTACACAAACCCCCCACATGCATGCACACTCATACTCACATTATGTATGTGATATGCGATGTACTTCTGTATATGTGTTGCTTTTATTGGTTAATGAAAAAAGCTGCTTTGGCCTATGACAGGGCAAAATATAGCCAGGCTAGAAGATTATATATATCTTCTAGAGATATCTAGAGATCTGAGAGAGAGAGAGAGAGAGAGAGAGAGAGAGAGAGAGAGAGAGAGAGAGAGAGAGAGGTGAGGAGACAGATGCCAGATCCTTACCAGTAAGCCACAACCTCATGCCTATACACAGATTAATAGAAACAAGTTAATTTAAGATGTAAGAGTTAGTTAATAAGAAGCCTGGGCTAATAGGCCAAGCAGTGTTGTAATTAATATAGTTTCTGTGTGATTGTTTGTGTTTGAGCAGCCGGGAATGAATGATCAGTCTCTGCCTACAAATGGTGCCCAATGTGAGCCATCTTAAAGGTTATTGGGTGAAGGGGTTCCCACAGCACATATGCACCACATATACACATGCATACACATACACATATAAACATATGCATACATACACAACACATACATACCACAAATACACATGCATACACACAAAAGCACACACATGCATTCACATATCACACACATACCCACACATACATACTATCATATACACACAGACACAATATAAATCTGATCACATAGGTGGGAGGAGTAAACAGAACAGAATGCTGGGAGGAAGAGGAAGTGAGCTCAGAAGCCATGCTCCCGTCTCCCGGGCAGACGCACGCAATGAAGCAAGCCGCCAGGTCAGACATGCTGAATCTTTCCCAGTAAGACCGGTGCTACACAGTTTATTAGAGATGGGTTGATCGGGATATCAGAATTAGCCAGTAAGGGCTAGAGCTAATGGGCCAAGCAGTGTTTAAAAGAATACAATTTGTGTGTTGTTATTTCGGGTAAAGCTAGCCGGTGGCGGGAGCTGGGTGGCGGAATGCAACCCGCAGCTCCATACAACACTTCCCTTCACTCCCACCCTCAGCCCACTCATCTTCTTGTCACCTACACCAGCTTCAGGCCCTCAGTGGGTTCCCCACTCTAACCACTGGAACCTCTCTCCTCCCAGTCTTTACTTATACAACTTCTTCATATCAACCAAGAGTCCCTTCAAGTATCTCCTCTGTAAGTGCTGCTCGCCGCCAGTTCCTTCACCAAAATCCTTAATTTTATTATTTGCCTAGCGATCCTCTATTGCTCTGATAAGTCTCTGAAGTCGTATCATGTAGTGGATGTTTATTTCTGCTGTTGTCTGTCTTCCTGTGAGATTATGTGTTCCGTGTGGTAGGGACTAGTCCTGCTGACAGCTGGATCTCATTGCCTGGACTAGTGCCTGATGCATGGCAGATAATCAAAAACATGAGGCATCTATCCATGAAGAATAATGTCCCCATCTTTATCATTGTCTTCACTCTCGGCAGGGGGAGATCTGCCTCTGTACCAGCAGGATCTTCGTCCAGAGGAGCATCTATAGTGAATTTCTGAAGAGGTTTGTAGAAGCTACCAGAAAGTGGAAAGTTGGGATGCCCTCTGACCCGTCAGCCAATATGGGTGCTTTGATAAGTAAAGCACATTTGGAGAAAGTAAGTGATCTCTGTCATGTATGTTCCAGAAAGTTCTTATTTAGAGAGACACTGAGAGGCTGGGGATGGTGGTGCACACCTTTAATCCAGCACTTGAAACGCAAAGGCAGGTGGATCTCTGAATTCCAGTCCAGCCTTGTGTACATAGTAGGTTCCAGGACAGCCAGAGCTACATAGTGAAACCCTGTCTTAAAAAAAAAAAAAACAAGATAGTGAAGGGGAGGGAGGAAGAAAGACAGAGAAAGACAGACAGTGTGTGTGTGTGTGTGTGAGAGAGAGAGAGAGAGAGAGAGAGAGAGAGAGAGAGAGAGAGAGAGAGAGAGAGGGAGAGGGAGAGGGAGAGGGAGAGAGAGAGAGAGAGAGAGAGAGAGAGAGAGAGAGAGAGAGAGACACGCATAGGGAACTTATGCAAATGAATCCAACAGGTTATTTGAGGATCTTCTAAGCCACATAGGCAGAGGAGAAACTCAGGGGCTGGAGATTTGGATTCTAGCACCCACATTGAGAAGTTTTAAATGTCTGTAACTCCAGCTCCAAGGGATCCAACTCCCCCTTTTAGTATATACATGGTCACATGCACACACACACACACATAAATATAATAAATCAAGTCTTAAAGAGAAACTTGGTATAAGCAGAGGACATATCAGGCTTTGAAATATTACTTTTGAGAAATTATCAGCTATGGAAAATTGTTTCTCGTGGACCAAGAGTAGAAGGGAATCCTTCAGACACTTAGTTGAGCCTCTCTTCCCCATTCCTAGAGCAAATAATTCCCTCTGAATGAGACCTTTTCAGCCCATCCTATATAAAACTACACTCCCTAGAATGTCCCCTACCTCTCTAATCCTTTATTTTTCCCATGTTTCTTTTTTAGGTCTGTTTTATGTGTGTGAATGTTTTGCCTGCATGTATGTCCATGTACCATGTGTATGCCTCACATGAGAAGGTCAGCAGTGGTCATTGGCTATTTAGGGATAGTTGTGAGCCATCATGTGGGTGCTGGGAACTGAACCCAGGCCCTTGTCAAGATCTTCAAGTCCTCTTAACTACTGAGCCACCTCTCCAGCTGGCTCCACAATTCTTAAGACTGCCAACACATAACCTGTACTTCTTCCCTTAGTGTCTGTCTTCCCTTGAGCAGAAGGTGGTCAAGTTCATTCACTGCTGTGTCCTGAGACTAGAAAATCTCAGGAAGCACAGCAGTGCACAGTATTCATTGGAAGAGGGATTGTAACAATGTGTTCTGGGTTTCAGAACTTTGTGACACAAACTCAAGGTACCAATTTTCCTTGAAAATTCTCCTTTTGGTGCTTGGCTTAAAGTACTTGGAATCGGATCTAGACCCACGGGTTATGGACATCTCTCTTGCTGGGATGACTCAGTGTGGACTCCAAATGGAAAATAAACTCAATTACCCGGCCTCTGTTCAAGAAAGTATTCATGTCATTATCTCTGAGTCACTGGGCTAACTTAGGAAATAATTTGTTTTACATTATAATCAGCTATACTGTATTGCCTACATTTGTTTTTAGAGTATAATCGGCACTAAGACTAGAAACTTTTTTTTTTTTCGTGGAATCTCAGATATAGAAGGCTGGGCCTTTAAGTCTTACATATCATTCTCTTTCCACTTCCTTTGAAACATTTTATGTCTTTGAGAAATGCTTACATTGTATTCTGATCATATTCACTTGTCCCCCAATTCCTCCAAGTTTCATCCCACACTGACCCACATTTGTGTCTTCAGTTTTTACCCCATCAAGTCCAGAGTGCTGCCTTTGTACTCTCGGGGGTGTGGCCATCCCCTGTCGTGCCCTCAATCTACCAGGGACTACACCTTTAAGAAAGCTAACTCTCCCTGTCCCAGCAGACATCCGTTACTATAGCTACTCAGCTGGGCATGGGACTTAGTGCTCACTTCCTCCCTCCATGCTGAAATGTTGATTGGCTAGAGCTAGGGCTGGCCTTGGATTTGACTTCAAGCAATTGCCCTGCTTTGTCCAGAAAGCCCTGTTTCGTGTATTCAGCCTCTGGCTCTGGCTCTTCCCGTCTTTCTGTCCCCCCCCCCCCCCCCGCAAAGATCCCTAAGGAGCTGGCATGGTATGGATGGTCCATGTATTCTCTGCCCTACGACCAGCTGTGGTCCTGTGTGTTTATTACCATCTTCTGAAAAAATAAAAAACTTTTCTGATGAGGATTGAGAGATGTACTGATCTATGGTTAACAATAAACCATTAAGAATCAGTTTAATACCATGTTATATCTCTTTAACAAAAATCATAATAGTAGATTCTCCCCTGGGGCCAACGGCCTCTCTAGCCACAGGTTCTTGAAAATGATACTAGTACCAGATAAGGGATTCCGTTTTGTAGAGCAGATCTCAAATCCAACCAGAAGATGGTAGGTTACTCCTATGCTATGTATGCTAATATTGCACCAGTGAACGTACCTGTGTGGGTATTGTTATTGTAGCCTCCAGGGTTTACAGATGGGCAAGAGAGGTGATTATTTTTCTCCTCTTGAAGCATGTGCCGCATTTTCCATGGCTATGAAAGCTAGCCAGTAGGGATGAAGCTTCCACATCAAAAATAGCTTCATTTTCCCATGTTTTATGACTCAAGTATGTGATGTCTTCAGTAAGACAGTAACCAAAAGTAAAGGCAATGGTCCATAATATTTGGGGGTTTATGAGACCTCACTGGCCAGTAACTTCAATAGAAGTAATTAATTGTGGCATTGGACACTTTACTTGTTAGCCTGTGGTGTCTAGTAAGAGCACTGTCAACCCCGTTATAGGGAATTTCCAACTTCTTACAATGATCACACCTCTATCACCTGCAAACACACACACCCACCTATCCATCCAAACACACATACACACAGAGTTCTGTCCCTAACTACAGGGTATGTCTGAGTATGGCTTAAGCTTATTGTTTATTGTTTACTAGCTGCATGAACCCAATATACTTCCTGAGGCACAAATTGGAGATAAAAATAGCTGATAGAATATAGAAAAAAATAAGTGACAATACATAATATTACTTATATTAGTGCCTGATATTTAGGCATGAGATAATCTCCCTGCCATTTGCATGAGGGCTAAATATTCAAGTTTGGGGGAACTCCTCTGCCTTTAGGCTTTGCACCCGAGTAATGACATAACCCTAGCTCCCTAAGCACTGACCTTGGATTGCTTTTCGATCGTTAGAGAATACTGATTTTTCTGCTGACATGTCAAATGTCAAGAGGCTTGTAATTATGGTTTTCTTTATATCCTCAGGTCAGAAGCTACGTGATGAAAGCTCGTGCAGAAGGGGCCCAGATTCTGTGTGGTGAGGGTGTGGACCAGCTGAGTCTTCCCCCCAGGAACCAAGCAGGCTACTTCATGCTGCCCACGGTGATAACAGATGTTAAGGATGAGTCTTGCTGCATGAAGGAAGAGATATTTGGTCCAGTGACGTGTGTTGTCCCTTTTGACAGTGAAGAGGAGGTGATTAAAAGAGCCAACAGCGTTAAGTATGGGCTGGCAGCTACAGTGTGGTCAAGCAATGTGGGGCGCATCCACCGGGTGGCTAAGAAGCTCCAGTCAGGTTTGGTCTGGACCAACTGCTGGCTCATCAGGGAGCTGAACCTGCCCTTTGGCGGGATGAAGAGCTCTGGAATCGGAAGAGAAGGAGCCAAAGACTCATTTGACTTCTTCACTGAAATAAAAACCATCACCATTAAGCACTGACTCCCCCCTATGGAGAAGCAGCTGCGGCCAATGCCGGACAATAGAGACTCACTCATGGGATGCAGCAGACAGAAATCCTAGCATGTGTTCAGCTATGCCTTGACTTGCCAGGAGACTAACTCTTACTGGCCTTCACTAGCTGGTATTTTTACCGGCTTGTGAATAAAAAAAAAAAATGCAGTTTTTAATGTGGAATGAGAACAAGGTTTCTAAGGAGGAGACGCAGCAAAGCTAAAAAGCTGGCAGTCTCCCTGGTCCTCATGTCCTGGCTACATAGATGTCATTGTTTGACTGGATTCTTGAAAAGCTGCCCAAATCAGAGATTTTCATTTACAAATAAATGGCAAAACAAAAACGAAGGCCTACAAAGCTGGGGACCAGGAAGCTGGCTTGCTGTCCAAGCATGAACAACTGAGTTCAGATCCCCAACATCGGTGTAAAAGCCTGACATACATGGTGCCGTATAACACCCGCCACATACATGTGCGCACGCACACACACATATACAACCACCACCGTCAACAACAACAACCACAGCAAACATGAAGAGGTCAGCCCCAACCCTCATCATTTTTACCCCGATGAAGCTGTGGAGATGGTCGCCTTAACCCCCTAGCCACTGGCAAACTGACTGAAGCTTGGCTGACCCCATCAATATCAGGAAGGGATGGTTGTGAGGAGCTTGTAAGTGTCCTGCGTGACAGGTCTCACTAAACATGTCTGGTAAGAAGAGAGGAAAGCAAAGCAGTGGTTGCTTTTTAGAGAAAACTAGGAGCACAAAACCTAGTTTGATCCTTTCCCACTGTCAAGCCCAGACATCTCAAAGGAGCAATAAATTGATCATCAGTTTGACATATGTCTGGAGGTGTCCATTACTTGTCTTATCCTCGTTCCCTTAGAAGTATAGCTTTTCCTACTAGTAAAAGTCAGTCTAACGCCCGATTCGCACATCCCCTGAACAAAACACTGAGGTTGACAGAAGTTCAGGAGCAGCCTCAGGGTTACACCGAAGGCAAGGGGCACAGGAGGGATTTGAACCTCAACCTTTGAAGCTCAGGACTTCTGACCCCTTCGCCCCTGCTGGTTGTGCTCCAGAAGCAGGGAAGCACGTGTGGTTCTGGTAGACATTCTCCTTTCCAGGTCTCTCTCCTTGCTGGCTCTCTCATTGGCTCCATTTCTCCCGAGTGAGAGGCCTGTACAGCAGCTGTGCAACCCAGATGCCTCCTCCAGTTCTCCCCTCACCTCACTCACTGGGACTCTTAGCTGCCTGATTCCACAGCTGCCTGGACTCCTGAAGGCCTCAGCTCTGTTCCTTCCTTCTGAACTCTGAATTTATTGCATGATGCCTGGCACACAGCAGGGATTCAATGGGCTTGTGGAAGGGAATGAGATCTTTACGCTGCTCTGGTTGCATAGTGTGAGGCAGGGGTTTGCCGTGGTGGTGGTGGTACTATTACGCATCATGAGTTTTCCTAGGACTTCAGGTATATTTTTTTTTCATGTACAAATACTGTGAAATTTCAAGTGACCTTTTAAAGAGCAAGTGATGACATTGGGCTATATTGGTTTCTAGCTTTCACTTCCTCTCTTTTCTCTTTCCTTTGTTGATTTCCTTCCTTCCTTCCTTCCTTCCTTCCTTCCTTCCTTCCTTCCTTCCTTCCTTCCTTCCTTCTTTCCCTCCCTGCTTCCTTCCTTCCTTCCTTCCTTCTTTCCCTCCCTGCTTCCTTCCTTCCTTCTTTCTTTTTTCTTTCTTTCCTAGCTGAGATCCATAACCTACATTAGCTTAGCCCATGACGAATTCTGAGTATCAGCAGAAGAGATTTCAGTAGCTCCTGTCATTAGGAATCTCTATCTTCAGGCTAGATATTGATCAGCCGGAGTTGGGAGGGAAGAGCGGAGGCTGACTGAGGTTCCTGGCTATGTACCTTTCCCTGTCTTATTGACGACAAATGGGTTGCGCATGGCAAACTCCGAGGAGTCAAGAACTGGATACTTAATGTGTATTATTTAAAGCTATACGTTCAATTAGTAAATCTCTTAAAATAATAATGCAACCTAAAAAACTGAAAGGTGAAAAGCAGATGTGGAAGGGTAGGAAAAGGGTGTCGGGTTAGAGCTCATTCATTGTAGCAAGCTATACTTGTTATTTGAAGTTGATAAAGCCAGAAATACAGGGACAAACATTGGTTAGTTCAATGGTATTGAAGACCTAAAAGCAGAGCTACTTAAGAATGATTCTTTTAGTTTAGTGACACAAACCTATCTACAATCCTAGCCCTTGGGAAGCTGGGGCAGGAGGATTGCTATGAGTTCCAGACTAGTGAGAAAATATCTCAAAAGGATTGTTTTTCCTCCTGGGGATAAAGAACAGAATGTTGGAAAGGAAACGTCAGCTTCAGGGATAGACCATTTTACTTCAATTTGTGAACGATGTGTCCTCTTTGATTGTTCTGGCTCTTTATTTTAATGCGCTGTTGCTAGCCTGCTTTAGAAAGTGATACATATATTTCCACACTCCTACCTGATGCTTTTCCAGAAAGTGGAGGTTGGGAATCGTGTGCTATGTTGTTGTAGAATATACCAGGCCTCGAACTCCTAACTAAGCGGTTTTTAGGAGGCTGTGATAGCCTAACGTCTTGGAAGCCAGCCCAGGCTACTGGAAAGAGCCCTTTCCTCCACAGACCCCTTGGAAGTTTGCCTTGGTCATGCTAAAGGAGGACAACATTCTTCTGGCTCAGAGTTACCTTCTCTCACAAGAGGACTTGGGAGACAGACCTGGCTACTCCTGCCTGGCCAGAGGTGGCAGGAGGGCGCTTTGAGACTCCAGACCTTTAAAATTAGACCTCAAAACTCTTAGTCTTTTTCACTCTGTGCCTGATTCTCTCCTGTGAGTTCTATTATCCTTGTGCTAGAGGCCCCTGAAGCTGTCTGTGGCTGTTTAAGTGGATACATTTCCTCCTCAAATGTTCCCAGGGCAAGTCCCTCCATCCAGGTCTCCCAGTGAGGGTTTAGGAGCCTGTGTTAGGATATTTTGATTGTGGATACTAAAAGGAGGCTTCTGGAACATATTCTGGCATTCATCATCTATCTGGTGAGTGGTCTGGAAAGTTCATGTCATTAGTCCTGGCTGCCAAGCTGAACTGCGCCCGGGCATTGATGATTCACCCCAAAGCCTATGCAGTGCAATCCATTGCCGTCACTACTCTGTGACTTCTGCCAAACGAATGGTGGGCAGTTCTGGTAAGAACCATATTTCCGATTGCAGCTGGCCGTGCATCACATGTTGATAATTTGCCTAAACTTGCCTGTTGTCTGAAGAGGTGCCATCTCCACGAGTTTGATTATGGCTTTCTCATCCCACACCTCCTCCCACTTCTCCTCCACAGGCCTCAGTCCAGTCTTACCCGTGGAGATGTCATTATATTCCAATCTCATAATTGCATTTAATTCCAGTGTGACTCAACAATCTCCCAGAAGGCTTTGTAAATTACTCACCAGAATATTAAGGACTGTCTATATAAAGTGAATGAATCATAACATATTAGATTACCAGAGACCTTGAGATCACCCTCCCTTCCCCTAGATGGACAACGGAGGCATAAATGAAGTTTCCCTGCTTCCTAAAAATATTAACAACAAAAAGGGCTCTGTCAGTAGAACTGGATATAGAATGTGCAGGACATCCAGAAATACGCAAGCACCAAGGACCTGGAAGTCTTCTGAGGACAATGAAAAAGTCATTGCTAATTCTGAGGAGTATTTTAGGCTCCTCACCCCCATACCGTTAGCAGCTGGCCTTTGTCTCCACCGAGGGTGAGTTACAGAGGCAACATTATTCTCAATAAGAGCTTCTGGAGTTGAATTTATGTATGAAACAAGAAGTATCTCATTCTAGCGCTTGCAGCTCGGAGTGAGTGGCAGGCAAGAGCCAAATCCTGTTCCCCAGAGGACTCTAAGGCTGGGTGGGACCCAGAGGACTCTAAGGCTGGGTGGGACCCAGAGGACTCTAAGGCTGGCTGGTATCTGTGTGGGAGCTTTGGGTCTCTGGGTGGGAAGCAGTCTTGATTTTCTGTAATCATTGTGACAGCCTGTGAGCTGTGGAACTCTGCAGCTCTAGCCGCCTGCTGCACGTGTGGGAGCAGGTCCTGCATGGGGCACACGGTTCTCAGTATCACATTGTATGTTCATGTGTGAGACCACAAGGACCGCCACTGAGAAATAAGAACAGAAATTTTCTTGAAATTCCAAGCAGGAGATAGCTGATTTTCACACATCATTCTTGAGAAACCAGAGTGCGTGAGAATCACTGAGCTAGGAAAGAGCGCCTTTGTCAGGGCCGTTCCGTCTTTGCAGGATGTTTGGACCGTTTGTCTGATCCTAAAAGCTCAGTAAGTCACATCCTTTGAAAGTCTCTTTTGAGCTCATTTTTAGGCATTTGGGGGAATGCACTCCTCCACTTAGTGGCGATAAGCACTAAAGGGGCTAATTTTAATTTTCTGGGGCCACTGGCTGGGATTTGGGCTGAGTTAATGCCTGTGTTCAGGCCAAGTTCTGTCATCAGGGTGGAAGCAATACTGTTTCTACTGTCCCCACGGAAGAAGGGACACTAAAATGCTGCCTGGAGCTGTGACTCCCCGCTGAGACTATTGACCTCCCTCCTTCTCTTGCCCCCACCCTCGCCTTCCTCTGCTGTCCTAAATAAAGGGAGATAGCCCACTTCTGGACTCTTTGCTGACAGGGCACTGCACCCTTTCCTCAAGATATATTTAGTGCATTTTAATCTCGAGAAAGACCAACTCCCTGACTGGTAAAGTTTGAAATAGTTAGAGAAGAAAACCCTTTCTCTGGAGTTCGTACAACTGTCAAAGTGATAAGGAACGGAAAGGCTGCTTCAGGTCAGACTTCTCTGAACCTTTGAACTGTGTTGTGTTTGGATACACTAGAACATCCACCACGGCATGCTAACGTGAGTGTGGCCATGTCTGCCTTCGGCTATATTGTTCACTATGAATTGCTGTAAGAAGCAAGGACCTGGATAGATGACCTCAGACACCTAAACGGCAGCATGCAGTGATGATGGGATTGCTCAGCACACTCACACGCTCATCCACCTCCCCTTCGCTGCAGGAAATGCCTACTTTTGTCTTTGCATATACAGCTTGGAAATGACTTTTTGAGTATTAGCGGC